TAACAATCCAAAAAAGCTCTATATCAGGAATGAATTACACCCGGATGGTTCATAATGGTAACCTGCGCTTTTAGTTTTGAGAAATTTCACGCAATATATGCAGTGGCGTAACGAGCCCGACAATTTAGTCCCGCTATGCAAATTCAAAATTCTTATCATTATTTATTTCTTTAGAAATTGATTGTTTTACCAGTCAATGAACACGAGAATATTTGCATACCGGGACTAAATCGCCAGGCTGGCTACGCTAGTCAATATGAGCAGCATAACAATCCAGATTAGGACTATTTCGTGAATGGATTACACCCGGATGGTTCGTAATGATAACCTGCGCTGTGAAATTGTTCGTTTTCTTTTGAGGATCATTCTTAGTTTGTTATCAAAAGTAACCATTCCTCGCTTCATCTTTTCACAGAAACATTTTTAAAATTGACAACAACGTTGTTTCCAAAGAAAGTTTCAGCCAATGATTCATGGTGCATTTTACCTGACTTTACTTCAGTAGTAATGATAGCAGGGGAAAATTAAATATAAACAACGAGTTGTAATAATAAAAGCAAAGCCATCTAAAATGTATACCATTTATTCAAATATTAATAATAATAATAATAATTATATTTATCCAGGATACCCACATCACTTACGTGTTTTTCAGTGGGGTCCTGCATCAGATTGCGTAAATATTGCGCCATTACTACACTCAAAGTTTCGTTTAAATGGAAACAAGAAATAACCGTTCTTCCATTGAACGGGCATTATTCTTAACAACTAAATCTCAAGTGCAAAGTTCCAGATTTTCAAAATATTTTTTTGCTGCATTCTGCGGTAGCCTTCGTTATTATAACAGCACTTCCGTCGCCCTTTTCAGCACTTTTTTTTTGCCACAGCAACAGTTTGCTTCATTTTTTCTGTGTTTCTGAAATTTTCCAGGAATATTTTTTAGGCTTGCCCGGTGTGGATATACCATCAGAGTAACATTACAAGCATTAGTTTGCTTCATGTTACGCACGGCAAGCCTTTCAAGTGGTGGACAATCGACGAATATTTCGACACACATAGGCTTAGACGGTAGCATTACAACAATGCTTGCATCAACTTTCTTTAAACATTTGAGGTTTGCTTCCGTCGTTTTACCAGTTCGACAATCGATCTTTTCTTTTAGTTCTGAGAATTTTCACGCAATATGAGCAGTGTAACAATCCAGAACAGTACTATATACCGAATGGATTACACACGGATGGTTCATAATAACAACCTTCGTGGTGAATTTTTTTGCTTCCTTTGGAGGATTATTCTTGTTGTCAAAAGTAACTATTCCTCGCTTTATCTCTTTTACAGAAACATTTTTAATATTGAAAACAACACTGGTTCCAGGGATGGTTCAGCCAAGGATTCATAGTGCTTTTCAAATGACTTTACATCAGCAGTAATGTTAGCAGGAGAAAATCAAATATAAACAACGCGTTGTAATAATAAGACAAAGCCATATAATGATAAATACTATACGTTCAAATATTGCGCCTTTTTTGACGTTCAAAGTTTCGTTCAAATGCAAACAAAAAAAATGACAGTTCCTCGATCGAACGGGCATTATTCTTAATACTTAAATCTCAAGTACAAACTTGCATATAGTCAAATTATTTTTTTGCAGCTTTCTGGGTAGCTTTAGTTACTTTTCTATCACTTCTAGCTTAAATTACTTTTCTAACAGTTTGCTTCATGTCACGAACGGCAAACGTTCCAAGTGGTGGATAATCGATGAACGTTTCGACACACGTAGATTTAGACGGTACCATTATAACAATGCCAGCATCACCTTTTTGCATTTGGAGTTTCCTTCCGTCGTCTTACCAGTTCGATAAACGATCTATTCTTTTAGTTCTGAGAACTTTCACGCAATATAAGCAGTGTAACAAATGCAAAACTAGACTATATCTGCGAAGTGGATTACACCAGGATGGTTCGTAATGATAACCTGCGCTCCGAAATTTTTTGCTTCCTTTGGAGGATCATTCGTGTTGTCACAAGTAACCATTCCTCGCTTTATCTCTTTTACAGAAACATTTCTAATATTGAAACTGAATTTACATCAGGAAGTAATGTTAGCAGGATATAATTAAATATAAACAACGCGTTGTTATAGTAAGAGCAAAGCCATATACTAATATATACCATTTATTCAAATATTGCGCTATCTTTGCACTCAAAGTTTTGTTTCAGCGTAACAAAATATGATAGTTCCTCCATCCAACCGGCATTATTCTCAACAACTGAGTCTCAAGTGCAAAGTTCCAGAAAGTCAAATTATTTCATTGTAGCTTTCTGTGCAGTATTGATTACTTTACCAGCACATCCGTTGCCCTTTTCAACACCTTTTTTCTTGCAACAGCAACAGTTTGCTTCATGCACGCACGGCAAACGTTCCAAGAGGTAGATAATCGACCAACGTTTCGACACACATAAGCTTAAACAATTGTAACAATGCCAGCATCACCTTTCTTTAAACATTTGGGGTTTGCTTTCGTCGTTTTACCAGTTCCACGATCGATCTTTTCTTTTAGTTCTGAGAACTTCCACGCAATATGAGCAGTGTAACAATCCAAAACAGGATTATATCCGGAATATATTACATCCGGATGGTTCATAGTGATATACTGCGCTGTGAAATTTTTCGGTTCCTTTGCAGAATCATTCTTGTTATCCCAAGTAACCATTTCTCGCTTCGTCTTTCCAAAAATATTTTTAATATTGAAGCCAACGTTGTCTCTAAGAATTGTTTCAGCCAAGAATTCATGGCGCATTTCAACTGACTTTATCTCAGTAGTAACGTTAGCAGAGGATAATTAAATATAAACAACGTGTACGCGTTGTAATAATAAGAGCAAAGCCATATAATAATATAAACCATGTATTCAAATATTGCGCCATTATTACACTCAAAGTTTCGTTCAAATGGAAACAAGAAATGACAGTTTTGAAACATTTTTAAAATTGAAAACAACGTTGTTTCGAAGAAGGTTTCAGCCAAGGATTCATGGTGCATTTTACCTGACTTTACTTCAGTAGTAATGATAGCAGGGGAAAATTAAATATAAACAACGCGTTGTACTAGTAAAAGCAAAGCCATCTAAAATATATACCATTTATTCAAATATTGCGCCAGTACTACATTTAAAGTTTCGTTTAAATGGAAACAAGAAATAACCGTTCTTCCATTGAACGGGCATTATTCTTAACAACTAAATCTCAAGTGCAAAGTTCCAGATTTTCAAAATATTTTTTTGCTGCTTTCTATGTAGCCTTCGTTATTATAACTGCACTTCCGTCGCCCTTTTCAGCACTTTTTTTTCTTGGCAACAGCAACAGATTGCTTCATTTTTTCTGTGTTGCTGTAATTTTCCAGGAATATTTTTTAGGCTTGCCCGGTGTGGATATACCATCAGAGTAACATTACAAGCATTAGTTTGCTTCATGTTACGCACGGCAAGCCTTTCAAGTGGTGGACAATCGACGAATATTTCGACACACATAGGCTTAGTCGACGGTAGCATTACAACAATGCTTGCATCAACTTTCTTTAAACATTTGAGGTTTGCTTCCGTCGTCTTACCAGTTCGACAATCGATCTTTTCTTTTAGTTTTGAGAATTTTCACGCAATATGAGCAGTGTAACAATCCAGAACAGTACTATATACCGAATGGATTACACACGGATGGTTCATAATAACAACCTTCGTGGTGAATTTTTTTGCTTCCTTTGGAGGATTATTCTTGTTGTCAAAAGTAACTATTCCTCGCTTTATCTCTTTTACAGAAACATTTTTAATATTGAAAACAACACTGGTTCCAGGGATGGTTCAGCCAAGGATTCATAGTGCTTTTCAATTGACTTTACATCAGCAGTAATGTTAGCAGGAGAAAATTAAATTAAATATAAACAACGCGTTGTAATAATAAGAGCAAAGCCATATAATGATAAATACTATACGTTCAAATATTGCGCCTTTTTTGACGTTCAAAGTTTCGTTCAAATGCAAACAAAAAAAATGACAGTTCCTCGATCGAACGGGCATTATTCTTAATAATTAAATCTCAAGTACAAACTTGCATATAGTCAAATTATTTTTTTTGCAGCCTTCTGTGTAGCTTTAGTTACTTTTCTATCACTTCTAGCTTAAATTACTTTTCTAACAGTTTGCTTCATGTCACGAACGGCAAACGTTCCAAATGGTGGATAATCGATGAACGTTTCGACACACGTAGATTTAGACGGTAACATTATAACAATGCCAGCATCACCTTTTTGCATTTGGAGTTTCCTTCCGTCGTCTTACCAGTTCGATAAACGATCTATTATTTTAGTTCTGAGAACTTTCACGCAGTATAAGCAGTGTAACAAATTCAAAACTAGACTATATCTGCGGAGTGGATTACACCAGGATGGTTCGTAATGATAACCTGCGCTCCGAATTTTTTTGCTTCCTTTGGAGGATCATTCGTGTTGTCACAAGTAACCATTCCTCGCTTTATCTCTTTTACAGAAACATTTTTAATATTGAAACCAACGTTGTTTCCAGGGAAGGTTTCAGCCGAGGAATCATGGTGTATTTCAACTGAATTTACTTCAGGAAGTAATGTTAGCAGGATATAATTAAATATAAACAACGCGTTGTTACAGTAAGAGCAAAGCCATATTCTAATATATACCATTTATTCAAATATTGAGCTATCTTTGCACTCAAAGTTTTGTTTCAGCGTAACAAAATATGATAGTTCCTCCATCCAACCGGCATTATTCTCAACAACTGAGTCTCAAGTGCAAAGTTCCAGAAAGTCAAATTATTTCATTGTAGCTTTCTGTGCAGTATTGGTTACTTTACCAGCACTTCCGTTGCCCTTTTCAACACCTTTTTTCTTGCAACAGCAACAGTTTGCTTCATGCACGCACGGCAAACGTTCCAAGAGGTAGATAATCGACCAACGTTTCGACACACATAAGCTTAAACAATTGTAACAATGCCAGCATCACCTTTCTTTAAACATTTGGGGTTTGCTTTCGTCGTTTTACCAGTTCCACGATCGATCTTTTCTTTTAGTTCTGAGAACTTCCACGCAATATGAGCAGTGTAACAATCCAAAACAGGATTATATCCGGAATATATTAAATCCGGATGGTTCATAGTGATATACTGCGCTGTGAAATTTTTCGGTTCCATTGCAGGATCATTCTTGTTATCCCAAGTAACCATTTCTCGCTTCGTCTTTCTAAAAACGTTTTTAATATTGAAGCCAACGTTGTCTCCAAGAATTGTTTCAGCCAAGAATTCATGGCGCATTTCAACTGACTTTATCTCAGTAGTAACGTTAGCAGAGGATAATTACATATAAATAACGTGTTCGCGTTGTAATAATAAGAGCAAAGCCATATAATAATATAAACCATGTATTCAAATATTGCGCCATTATTACACTCAAAGTTTCGTTCAAATGGAAACAAGAAATGACAGTTTTGAAAAATTTTTAAAATTGAAAACAACGTTGTTTCCAAGGAAGATTTCAGCCAAGGATTCATGGTGAATTTTACCTGACTTTACTTCAGTAGTAATGATAGCAGGGGAAAATTAAATATAAACAACGCGTTGCAATAGTAAAAGCAAAGCCATCTAAAATATATACCATTTATTCAAATATTGCGCCATTACTACACTCAAAGGTTCGTTTAAATGGAAACAAGAAATAACCGTTCTTCCATTGAACGGGCATTATTCTCAACAATTAAATCTCAAGTGCAAAGTTCCAGATGGTCAAATAATTTTTCCAGCTTTCTGTGTAGCCTTCGTTATTATAACTGCACTTCCGTCGCCCTTTTCAGCACTTTTTTTTCTTGGCAACAGCAACAGATTGCTTCATTTTTTCTGTGTTGCTGTAATTTTCCAGGAATATTTTTTAGGCTTGCCCGGTGTGGATATACCATCAGAGTAACATTACAAGCATTAGTTTGCTTCATGTTACGCACGGCAAGCCTTTCAAGTGGTGGACAATCGACGAATATTTCGACACACATAGGCTTAGACGGTAGCATTACAACAATGCTTGCATCCACTTTCTTTAAACATTTGAGGTTTGCTTCCGTCGTTTTACCAGTTCGACAATCGATCTTTTCTTTTAGTTCTGAGAATTTTCACGCAATATGAGCAGTGTAACAATCCAGAACAGTACTATATACCGAATGGATTACACACGGATGGTTCATAATAACAACCTTCGTGGTGAATTTTTTTGCTTCCTTTGGAGGATTATTCTTGTTGTCAAAAGTAACTATTCCTCGCTTTATCTCTTTTACAGAAACATTTTTAATATTGAAAACAACACTGGTTCCAGGGATGGTTCAGCCAAGGATTCATAGTGCTTTTCAATTGACTTTACATCAGCAGTAATGTTAGCAGGAGAAAATTAAATTAAATATAAACAACGCGTTGTAATAATAAGAGCAAAGCCATATAATGATAAATACTATACGTTCAAATATTGCGCCTTTTTTGACGTTCAAAGTTTCGTTCAAATGCAAACAAAAAAAATGACAGTTCCTCGATCGAACGGGCATTATTCTTAATAATTAAATCTCAAGTACAAACTTGCATATAGTCAAATTATTTTTTTGCAGCCTTCTGTGTAGCTTTAGTTACTTTTCTATCACTTCTAGCTTAAATTACTTTTCTAACAGTTTGCTTCATGTCACGAACGGCAAACGTTCCAAATGGTGGATAATCGATGAACGTTTCGACACACGTAGATTTAGACGGTAACATTATAACAATGCCAGCATCACCTTTTTGCATTTGGAGTTTCCTTCCGTCGTCTTACCAGTTCGATAAACGATCTATTATTTTAGTTCTGAGAACTTTCACGCAGTATAAGCAGTGTAACAAATTCAAAACTAGACTATATCTGCGGAGTGGATTACACCAGGATGGTTCGTAATGATAACCTGCGCTCCGAATTTTTTTGCTTCCTTTGGAGGATCATTCGTGTTGTCACAAGTAACCATTCCTCGCTTTATCTCTTTTACAGAAACATTTTTAATATTGAAACCAACGTTGTTTCCAGGGAAGGTTTCAGCCGAGGAATCATGGTGTATTTCAACTGAATTTACTTCAGGAAGTAATGTTAGCAGGATATAATTAAATATAAACAACGCGTTGTTACAGTAAGAGCAAAGCCATATTCTAATATATACCATTTATTCAAATATTGAGCTATCTTTGCACTCAAAGTTTTGTTTCAGCGTAACAAAATATGATAGTTCCTCCATCCAACCGGCATTATTCTCAACAACTGAGTCTCAAGTGCAAAGTTCCAGAAAGTCAAATTATTTCATTGTAGCTTTCTGTGCAGTATTGATTACTTTACCAGCACATCCGTTGCCCTTTTCAACACCTTTTTTCTTGCAACAGCAACAGTTTGCTTCATGCACGCACGGCAAACGTTCCAAGAGGTAGATAATCGACCAACGTTTCGACACACATAAGCTTAAACAATCGTAACAATGCCAGCATCACCTTTCTTTAAACATTTGGGGTTTGCTTTCGTCGTTTTACCAGTTC